CCTCAGCCCATGGGCATCATGTCCATCCTGGAGGAGGAGTGCATGTTCCCCAAGGCCACCGACATGACTTTCAAGGCCAAGCTGTATGACAACCACCTGGGAAAATCCAACAACTTCCAGAAGCCACGTAATATCAAGGGGAAGCAGGAAGCCCACTTCTCCTTGGTGCACTATGCAGGCACTGTGGATTACAACATAATGGGCTGGCTAGAGAAGAATAAAGACCCACTCAATGAGACGGTCGTGGGCTTGTATCAGAAGTCTTCTCTCAAGCTGATGGCCACACTCTTTTCCTCTTATTCTAGTACTGATACTGGTAAGGCCAATGGCAGTCTCTACACTAGGGAAGGGGCTTCTGAATGTGCAAGAACGCAAGGCCCTGCTGCTTCAAAGCATCTAACTCCTATGGAGAGATCAAGGGATATAAGTCAGGAGATCTTAAAGTCTATATGTAGGTCTGCGGCACCTGTACTCTGTGTATTTCATATTATAGATGTTGATGGATATGTCTTGTGTCTCCTCAAGACTAATAGCAACTAGAGGCCATCAAGGGTGGTACATGCTTCATTATAGTATTTCCAGCACAGAGTCATGTACATAGGAGGACTCCATAAACATTAAAGTGACACTGAATAAATGGCAAAGCAAATGAACCTTTTGTTGAGAGAGGGGGAAAGTGTGGACTGATGTGAGAAAGAGGAGATACAAGAACACAAACAGAAGACGGAAAGATATAAGAATGAAAGATGATATGGTACACTGTTATTATTTCAGTGTCTACTATGCGGCCAGTGCTGGGCAGGTACCTTCCATTCATGTTCTTATTTAATCCTCTCTACACTTTGAACAAGATGAACTGACGTAGTGACAGTAACAATGAGTTAAACTATAACGGAGATGGTAAGGGTCCATATTTGTTGTTCATAGAATCATTGTAGGTTGTAGACGACTTGATAGCATCTAACAACAATGTAACTTTTAGAGGTAATTTTTATAATCCTCATGTAAAAATGGAAATTGGAGACTAATTTCTCCAAGGTCACATAGCTAGTGGATGGCAGAGCCCAGATCCTTCTCAATGACTTCTCTGATTTCAAGCTTTTTGATCATCATTTTTTGTCTTGTTATTAGCTGACAGCAGTAAAGGCAAAGGAAGCAAGAAAAAGGGTTCATCCTTTCAGACAGTGTCGGCTCTACACCGGGTAAGAAGAGCCTAGAGGCCAAAAGACCTATGGTGGGAGTGTAGGACCAGTCTGCACAATCCTAATTTAAATTTGGGGAGAAAAAAAGAAATTGAAGTCATATGATCGTTTTAGCTTGCACACTCTATATAAATCTGAATTTGCAGTCATAAACCATGAGTCAACTCCCTGTCTCTTTTAGGGTCTAGCCCATTTGGTAGGGATAGTCCTTGTGGATCCTAACTTCTCACCCCCACTCATCCCCAGGAGAATCTGAACAAGCTGATGGCTAATCTGAAGACTACTCACCCTCACTTTGTGCGCTGCATCATCCCCAACGAACGGAAGGCTCCTGGTGAGTGATAGGGAAGGGTTTAGGCTGGGGAAATGCTTAACCTTCACTTAGACTAACCTCTCTCCCCTATCATTCTGCTCAGGGGTGATGGACAACCCCCTGGTCATGCACCAGCTGCGTTGCAATGGTGTGCTGGAGGGCATCCGCATCTGCAGGAAGGGCTTCCCCAATCGCATCCTCTATGGGGACTTCCGACAGAGGTGGGTATGGAGGAACCAGCCCAGGGATAGGGATACGGGATCCTGGGCAGCTGTGATGGGAGGGGAGAATGCAGGTGGTCTTGTCATTCTATGTACAAAATCCATCAGTACAGGCATGGATGACTCTCGGCATACCTTTTCCCAGATATCGAATCCTGAATCCCGCGGCCATTCCTGAAGGGCAATTTATTGACAGTCGAAAAGGGGCAGAGAAGTTACTGGGTTCCCTAGATATTGATCATAACCAGTACAAATTTGGCCACACCAAGGTGAGTCTAGAGCTCTACGGGATGGGATTGCAGGGTGTGTGGTTATGTTGAGTGAAGCAGCTGAAAGCTGAGGAGGGAGACATCAGAATGCTGGCTTCCTGGGTCAACTCAAGGACTAGACCTGAGGCTTCTTGTCCATCTCATTCATGTTGTCACTCTCAGGATATGTGAATTATGGGTCCCCTGGGAGCTCAGCAAGGGTCTTGAGCCCTCTTTATCCACCTGCATGCCCTCCTCTGAAGCTAGCGTCCCCTTGGATCTACTCCTTGTCCACAGGTATTCTTCAAAGCAGGGCTGCTGGGGTTGCTCGAGGAGATGAGGGATGAGAGGCTAGGCCGTATCATCACGCGAATCCAGGCCCAATCACGGGGCCAGCTCATGCGAATTGAGTTCAAGAAGATCGTGGAGCGCAGGTGAGGTGGAAGGGAATGCATAGGAGAGGAGCTCCAGAAATGTAACAGTCCAATAAGCAATATCCAGTAAGGGTCAGAAGACCAAAATGAGAATTCTTTTTTCAAAATTTTTATTTTACTATTTTGTGTGTGTGTACCATCAAATCAGATCTGACTAGTACAGGAGGAGATTGTCCCGACTTCTCCAGCAGAGCATCTGGTGGATTCAAACCATGTACCTCTGGGATTACAGTGCCGCTTCTTGCCACTAGGTCACCAGAGCTCCCTTGAAACTCAAATTCTGACTCTCACTTACTAGCTGTGGGACCTGAGAGTAACATTACCTCTCCACATCTCATTTGTAATTCTGGTTTTAAAGAAAATCCCAATTTTGGTTGTTAGGTGCTGTAGAGTGGACTCAGATCCTATATGCAATTGGTCAAAACCTTTCCCAAACCTGTATCACTCTCACAATCTACACTGGGCTCAAACCCATTGTTTCAGTCACTGTATCAATAATCCATCTCCATGAAGTGGTGGTAAATGCAGTTCATTGTAACTTGAACACATCGTAAATTAGGGGTTACTTTACGACATTTTTGAAACTTGTAAGTATATTGCTGAGTTTAAAAAGCAAGACATAGAGGAATTTGTACATATGATGCCATTTTTTATTAAGTGACTAATGTGCTCCTGATCCAGGACATAGTCTTTGCATTTACTTGCTATGCATCAGAAAGCTGGACAACGATTAAGGATGATAGAAGTAGAATTGATGCCTTTGAGCTGTGGTGCTGGAGAAGAGAACTGAATATACCATGGGCTGCTAAGAGAACAAACAGGTTCATCCTAGAGAGGGTGGAACCAGGCTTCTCCTAAGAGGCAAGGACTCTCAAGCTTTGTCTGATATACTTTGGACATGTTGCAAGGAGATACCAGTCCCTGGAGAGGGATGTCTTGCTTGGGAGGGTGGAGGGACGGCACAGGAGGGGAAGACCCTCTATGAAGTGGATTGATTCAGTGACTGGGGTAATGGGGTAGGTGTGTCAGACAATAAGATTGTCACAGGATAGAGCAGGGTTTAGGGCTACTGTACACAGGGTCGCTATGAGAAGCAGGCAACTCGATGACACATAAAAACAACATCAACAGCAACAATAAAATCAACAATACATTATTTAAAGGTACTAACATACATGGTTAAAATATTATTTTGAAAAGTAAGAAAGGGGAAAAAGGAAGATTTAGAGTAGTGATACCACTGGTGGGAAGACCAGAAATGGAATGGGGAGCAGTAGACAGGTAGATTCAAAATTTGGTAATGTTTTAATTCTTGTTTTGAGTAACAGATATATGGATATCAATTTTATGTTTCTGTTTCAGAATTTACATATATATTATAGCTACACTTATTTGTAAAACATTACACAATTTTTAACATATTGGAGATTTACTTGAGATCAGAAACACTGATTGGAGTGAGATGCTTTCTAGGTGGCAGCTTCCATGACTACAGAGCCCCAAAAGGGAAAATATAGGCCACCCTTTCATTGCTGGATCAATTAAAAATATATTCACTGGGTAAGTCTTGTACAATATGATAATTTAGAACAAGATTGTATACTAAGGCTACAAAGACAGGGCTTCTTGCCTTCAGATGTCTACAAATTTGCAAAGATGGACAGAGACCTGTGTCTAATTGGTCCCAGAATTAGGAAGTGTTCTTTCATAGTGTCCCTCCCTGCCTCCATGTTTTCTTGTCAGGGATGCCCTACTGGTGATCCAGTGGAACATTCGGGCCTTCATGGGAGTCAAGAACTGGCCATGGATGAAGCTCTACTTCAAGATCAAGCCACTGCTGAAGAGTGCAGAGACGGAGAAGGAGATGGCCAACATGAAAGAGGAATTTGGGCGCATCAAAGATGCACTAGAGAAGTCTGAATCTCGCCGCAAGGAACTGGAGGAGAAGATGGTGTCCCTGTTGCAGGAAAAGAATGACTTACAGCTCCAAGTACAAGCGGTGAGACCATAAGATCATCTCCTTATTGCCTCTCACCCAAGATGATAGCCCATCTCATCACCAGGGACTAAGACTCTAGGCTCCAGTTCTTTTTAAGACCCTGAATCTCTCTTCTTTTTAATCACCAGATCCTTTCTCTGATCTCTCCCTCCAGGAGCAAGATAACCTTAATGATGCAGAGGAGCGCTGTGACCAACTGATCAAAAATAAAATCCAGCTGGAAGCCAAGGTAAAGGAGATGACTGAGAGGTTGGAGGATGAAGAAGAGATGAACGCTGAGCTCACAGCCAAGAAGCGCAAGCTGGAGGATGAGTGTTCTGAGCTTAAGAAGGACATCGATGATCTGGAGCTGACCTTGGCTAAGGTGGAGAAGGAAAAGCATGCAACAGAGAATAAGGTGAGGGAAACTTCCTCTAGGCCCTGCCCAGGTCTTTCCAGGATTCCCAAATTAAGCTGACCTGAATTCATGCCAGGCCATTTAAGGGATCCTTGAAAGAAGCACAGGGCCTTGGCATTGGCGGTCCCATAGATGCCTTTAGGCTGATGGCTAGGGCACGGGCGGGGGGCTCTTGTTCTGCAGGTGAAGAATCTGACAGAGGAGATGGCTGGGTTGGATGAGATCATTGCCAAGCTAACCAAGGAAAAGAAAGCTCTTCAAGAGGCTCACCAGCAGGCCCTAGATGACCTTCAGGCAGAGGAGGACAAGGTCAACACCTTGACCAAGTCTAAAGTCAAGCTGGAGCAGCAGGTGGATGATGTGAGTAGTGAAAGCTGTACTCCACGTACCTCAGGTCAGGCCTCTGCAGGAAACACCTGTGACTTGATCCCTGGAATGAACTTCTAGACCCCTTGGAGCCTTTTTTTTTAATTATTATTATTTCTGTGGTTCCTCACTCAGCTGAGTTTCTGAATTCTTTATTCTCACAGAAATCACTGTGCTGGTTTGACATTCAAGTTCACTGGACTTCAAGTTTAGAAGGGGTCAGAGGAGTATGTGGTATGGATTTCAAGTTTTCCACATCTTGCCCATTTTCTTCTCTCTATCAGCTGGAAGGATCCTTGGAGCAAGAAAAGAAGGTTCGCATGGATCTGGAGCGAGCAAAACGGAAGCTGGAAGGTGACCTGAAGCTGACCCAGGAAAGCATCATGGACCTGGAGAACGACAAACTGCAGCTGGAAGAAAAACTCAAGAAGTAGGAGCCTGTGGTAGCCAGAGGGGGATAGTGGTTATGTCCGACGCTGGGCTTCCAAAGGGGGTTGCATTTCATTAACCATTATCCTATGCACTGCAGATGAAGAGGTCAATCATGTGGTGGGGGAAGTGGCTGGTCCTGACGTACTAAGGCAAGAAAAGAGAGTGGGTCTGGAGAAAGGAATTCCACCTCTCGTATTTGCCCTTCATCAGGAAAGAGTTTGACATTAACCAGCAGAACAGTAAGATTGAAGATGAACAGGCCCTGGCCCTTCAACTGCAGAAGAAACTGAAGGAAAACCAGGTGAAGTTCTCTTTGGTACAGACAAGGGGAAGCTCAATGCTCTTGTGGTGATCAAGGTTGCAAGAGTGTTCGTGGTTACTGTCTAGCAGTAACCAGGACTCCAGAAAGCCCCCAGGACCCCACTAAACCTAATGTCGATACTTCCTGACACATAAGGGCAAGAACGCATAATTGCAACAAAGCTATTTTGCTGCGAGGAGGGTAGAGAGGAATCAAACCTACTAAAATGGATTTCTCTTTCTGAAATATGATCTCTGCCTCCAAGGACCAATAATGGGTCTTGATTTTCCTGTAAGTCTTCCTTTGATATTTTTCTCCTCTGCACTAGAGTGAGAAGAACTTTCAGGGAACATCTTGCCTTAAAGGGAACAGTTTGTACTAAACAAAATACAAACTGCAGCCTCTAACCCCAGCTGAATCACCAGAGGGCCCTCAGGATATGGAGTCAATTTCTACATTGCTGAGCAAGTGATTTACCTCCCTAAGTCTCAGATTCTCTTCTCATCTGTAAAATGAGGATAACAAAATCTGACCAGAGGAGATAATATATAAAAAACCTCGTAAAACAGATCTTTTTGTCATTTTACTATAGCCCATGATAGAAAGCCACTAACAAGATCTTTCCCCTTCCCCTATTTCAGTCTTTTCATCACTCTGAAGAAAGTTCTAGTTAGGTACCGTCGAGTCAACTGTGACTCAAAGTGACCCTATAAATCATGATCTTAAGCTTGTTCTTTCCTGAGCCATCCTCATCACCTCTGATACGCTCTAGTCCATAGTCACAGTCACTGTGTCAATCTAACCTGTTGAAGCTCTTCCTCTTTCTCTGACCCTCCATCTTCCCAGCATGATGTCTTTCCAAGGACTGATCTTTCCTGGCCACATGCTCAATGGATAAAAGACGAAGTTTCACATCTTTGCCCATAAGGTGCACCCTGGTTGCACTTCTTCCAAGACAGATTTACTTGTTCTTTGGGCAGCCCATGACCTATTCAGTGCTTTTCTCCAGCACCACAACTCAAAGGCATCAGTTCTTCTGTCATCCTTATTAGTTGTCAACTTTCAGATGCATAGGAAGCAATTGAAAAAATCTGCTGCTATGAACATAGCAATTACTGTATAAGACCATTATTGTACAATGTGCCTGAGTATCCAAGGGTGGGGGGAGAGTGTGAGCAGTGGGGTGAGGATGGGTGGGGGTGTGGGTGTGGTGGTGGTAATCTTAGGTTCGCACAATTAGATGGGCAGGGAGGGGTAGGTAAAGGAAATGGGGAAGATCTGGGGTGAAAACCAGTGTACACAAATTTTGTAAGTAAACTAGTATAAAATAAAAATATAATTTTTAAAAAGAATATCATCAAAGATCCCTTTGATTATCAAAAGAGAGTTTTTGTCAATGTTTTAGAATTAAGCTTGCATTCTATATCTAAGAATTGACAGAATTTTCCTTTAGAAAGGATTCCTTTAAATTCTAAGATCATTTTCTGTGTCCTTGTTGATGTATCTGTCCCAGGCCCTGTTTTGATGATTATTTTAATCAAGATCTCTTCATAATCTTTGAACCATATGAGCTAGTTTTTAAGAGGAGGAGAGACAGATTCTCCTTTTTTTTTGGTTTGGACACCACAGATGTATTGCATGGAGGTTGGGGTGTCAATGTTTTAAAGTAAAATTCAACCTAGACATTATTACCATTTGGAATTAGTTCATAAGTTACAGGGGGTCCTGCAGCTTGTGGGATGTTTAGTACAGTCCCTAGCCTCTACTCATTAAATGCTAATGGCAATACCTCCAAGGAACCATAGCTTTCAAAAATGTCTCCAGGAGCTGTTAAATCCAGAGACATGGCAGGAGTGTGGGCAAAATCACTCTGGGTTTAGAACCCCTGCTTTAAATGTACCTGAGTGTTTGCACACTGGGGTACAAGGTTTCAGTGCAGGAGTCTGGGTGGTGTGCCTGAGTCTGTCATGTCCTGGCCCAGGCGCGCATTGAGGAACTGGAGGAGGAGCTGGAGGCTGAGAGGACAGCCCGGGCCAAGGTGGAGAAGCTGCGTTCGGAGCTGTCCCGAGAGCTGGAGGAGATCAGTGAGCGGCTGGAAGAGGCTGGTGGGGCCACATCCGTGCAGATCGAGATGAACAAGAAGCGTGAGGCTGAGTTCCAGAAAATGAGGCGAGACCTGGAGGAGGCCACACTGCAGCACGAAGCCACAGCCGCGGCCCTGCGCAAGAAGCACGCAGACAGTGTGGCCGAGCTGGGTGAGCAGATCGACAACCTGCAGCGGGTGAAGCAGAAGCTGGAGAAGGAGAAGAGTGAGTTCAAGCTGGAGCTGGATGACGTTACCTCCAACATGGAGCAGATCATCAAGGCCAAGGTGCCTGCCCGCTCCACCTCTCCACAGCTTGCACCTTCCTTTTACCTTCTCTACCTGTCTCTTGCTTCCCCTCTCATCTCTCTTATCATTCTCACTCTCTTTCTCAGTGGTTGGTCTCTCTGCTAGGCCCTTTCCATCCCACTTCACTCAGTCTCTGTCCCCTAACCATCCTTTCCTTTTTTAATTCACATTTACTCTTCAGACTGCACGTCTTCCCCACTCCCCGGTTTCATCCCGCTGCCCCTGTGTGCTCCCTCTCTGAATCTTTATTCCTTCCTCTGATTGACTTTCCCCTGTCAACTCTAATCTCTCTCACACTCACTCTTCCTGTGTCCCTTACTGCCCAAAGGCAAACTTGGAGAAGATATCTCGGACACTGGAGGACCAGGCCAATGAGTACCGCATGAAGCTAGAAGAAACTCAACGCTCCCTTAATGAATTCACAACTCAGCGAGCCAAGCTGCAGACTGAGAATGGTGAGTGCCCCTAACCAACCTGTGCCGGCCCCATGGTAGGTTATTGCTTACCCAGCCCATGGCTCATGGCCCATCAACCCTTCCTTCCCACCCCCAGGAGAATTGTCCAGGCAGCTTGAGGAAAAGGAGGCACTGATCTCCCAGCTGACCCGAGGGAAACTCTCCTATACCCAGCAAATGGAAGACTTCAAAAGGCAGCTGGAAGAAGAAGGCAAGGTGAAGTTCAGCTATCAGGCCAGGGGACATGCTGTACAGTAGTCCGGGGGCAATTAACCTTCAGGTTAGATATGTAGCCTGGAGAGAGGCTGCTGGGACAGAAAGTGCCACCAGTCTAGCATTTCAATCCTTCAGCTAAGTGACACCCAAATTCATTTAATGATACTTTTCTTATTTGTAAGATAATGGAATGACTATATCAACAAAATGTTACTCAAAGTCTTTGAGGTTCCATACCAGACCTTAACCTGATTGAAAATGGGGCTTAACTACCAGATTCTCTGCCGGGAAAGGAGGGACAATCTCCTCCTGTACCAGTCAGATATGATTTGACGGTACACGCACACAAAAATAATAAAATTTTTTTAGAAAAGGAAGAAAATGGGGCTTAACTGAATCAAAGAATGGAAAAACTTCTAGAAAAGTTGAGAGATAACATCTGAGAGGTTGAGCCAACCTCTGGGTTCCTACCTCTCCTCAGGCAAAGAATGCCCTAGCCCACGCACTGCAGTCGGCCCGGCATGACTGTGACCTGCTTCGGGAGCAGTATGAGGAGGAGACAGAGGCCAAGGCTGAGCTGCAGCGTGTGCTGTCCAAGGCCAACTCAGAGGTGGCCCAGTGGAGGACCAAGTACGAGACAGATGCCATCCAGAGGACCGAGGAGCTTGAAGAGGCCAAGTGAGCTCTGGGTGGCCTTCATTCTGGTTTATATGGAAAAAGGATACAGGCAGAGTGATCATGAAAAAGAGGTTTGAAGTGGGAGAAACTTGAAGAGCTTGAAAGGTAGCCTGGATCTGGCATTTTTATGACCTGCGTTAGGCCTTGACCCACTTCCTGTGACGGGCGAGCTTTTGGCCCGGGTTATACCTGATGCACACGTATAAGACGAGCAAAAAGCTTGTTGGTCAAAGGAGCTACCATCGGTTGGTCTGTCTGGTGGATGTGAGGTGGGAAACTGCATGCAGGGAGGAGGCCTGTGTAGTCCATCCTTGGTCCCTCTAGGCTAGGTCTCCAGGCCCTGAAAGGTTGTCAGTGTCTCAAGAAGGTGTGGGAAGAAGGCAAGCTCTCCTTTTCTGACAGTTCACTGGGACCATCCCAAACCCTTATAGTTCCCAGGTAGAATCACACACATACCTCTTCCCCTGGGCAGGAAGAAGCTGGCCCAGCGACTACAAGATGCAGAGGAGGCCGTGGAGGCCGTCAATGCCAAGTGCTCATCATTGGAGAAGACCAAGCACCGGCTGCAGAACGAGATTGAAGACCTGATGGTGGACGTAGAGCGTTCCAACGCCGCTGCAGCAGCCCTGGACAAAAAGCAGAGGAACTTTGACAAGGTGGGCCGCCTGGGCAGGGGCCACACAGCCAGGGTGGAGGGCTAGAGAGAGGGAGTCTTGAGGTCAGAGACATCCTTCTTGCATGGAGGAAGAGTGAGAGCCATAGAGAGGAATGAGGAAGGCTGAGTCTACATGAAGGGAGTAAGTCAGCACCTGGAAGGACGCCCTGTGGTCAAGGGTTGGGGAGCAGGTCAGTGATCGGGTTCCCTGCACAGATCCTGGCTGAGTGGAAGCAGAAGTATGAGGAGTCACAGTCAGAGCTGGAGTCGTCGCAGAAGGAGGCGCGCTCCCTCAGCACGGAGCTGTTCAAGCTCAAGAATGCCTATGAGGAGTCGCTGGAGCACCTGGAGACCTTCAAGCGGGAGAACAAGAACCTCCAAGGTGTGTGTGTCGGGGGGGCGAGGGGGGCTGGGGAGACTAAGGAGGGGCTGGAAGCAAGAAAGCTTGTGTTAGAGCAGGGACATACAAGCCTCAAACTTCCTGACCCTCTGCCCCCCAGAGGAGATCTCGGACCTGACAGAGCAACTGGGAGAAGGAGGAAAGAATGTACATGAGCTGGAGAAGATTCGAAAACAGCTGGAGGTAGAGAAGATGGAGCTGCAGTCAGCCCTGGAAGAGGCTGAGGTGAGGACCTGACTGCCTGCATTCCTGCTTCAGTCTCTCCCATCTCTGTTCTGACTCCTTGCCTTTCCATTCTTGAGGATGATTCTGATCTCAAGACAATAACTACTGACTTATCACCCAGGCATTTTCACTATCTGAATCCTCTTGTCACTGCCCTAACTCTCCTTCTTCTGCTTCGTAAGGCTGCCATGCCCTAAATCATAAGGTGGTCCTGAAGGGTGGGGGCCATGGACTACAAGCCAGTCTGTGGAGGAAAACATCACAGTCTGGCCATAGGCCATTACATTTTGTTTTCCACCTGACTTTTGAACATTTTCAGTCTCGCAAGTACAATAACCTTTCAGATGGTGGTCAGGAGCATACACACCAGAGTCAAACAGGCCATGTTATTGGCAAGGTTCTTAACATCAGTGATTCTGTTTCCTAATCGATAGAGTGGGATAGATGGTGCATACGGCATGAAATTTTGCACATGATTTTTATGAAGATTCAATAAGGTAACCATTTATCAATTTCATATAATTCTGCTATTACTATTCAATCTTAAGGTCCTAAGAAAAGCCCTGAGATAAATGTGAATTGTGGTTATAAAAGCCTTCCCTTTTTTGTTATACTTGTATGAGTCAGGGCGTGCTCGTGGCATAAGCTGTAGGGTGTAGCACTACTATTCCTGGTGATTGGAATCGAATGACCACAGGAGAAAGATGGGCAGTCTGTTATGATTCACAACCTGGGAACCCTGACAGTGAGTCTCTATGAGTCAGAACCAACTTGATGGCAGTGAGTTTGAGTTTTTTCAGTTATAACAAGTCAGGCTTTCATGCAATGTTAATGCTGGCAATTATGAAGTCCAAACGTTTTCCTTGACAGAGAGAGCCTGGTGAGTCAGGAAGTCAAGGATTTCTTTCTCCAAACATCCTGTGAGACCTGGAGGTGACAGTTCCACCTCCTGCTTTCTTCCCAGTTCTATCCTCTAGGTTGTAGTTCTGTCTGATAATGGCATTCTTCCCCCATCCTGCCCCTGTGTTCTGACTGTCTGCCTTGAACCCTCTCCTTCCACCCCATCACCAGGCCTCTCTGGAGCATGAAGAGGGCAAGATCCTGAGGGCCCAGCTGGAGTTCAACCAGATCAAGGCAGAGATAGAGCGGAAGCTGGCCGAGAAGGACGAGGAGATGGAGCAGGCCAAGCGCAACCACCTGCGGGTGGTGGACTCGCTGCAGACCTCCCTGGACGCAGAGACACGCAGCCGCAATGAGGCTCTGCGGGTGAAGAAGAAGATGGAGGGAGACCTCAATGAGATGGAGATCCAGCTTAGCCAGGCCAATAGGACAGCCTCAGAGGCCCAGAAGCACCTGAAGATTGCTCAAGCCCATCTGAAGGTAATAAATGTTGGGGAGCTCCTAGGAGGGTGAGTCTGACGGTAAAGTGGGGATACCCAAAGGAATAGTGAAGGCCAGGAAAGGTTCTTGAGCTAAGAAACATAAGGAAATAGGAGCCACCTACCTCATGAACTTGGAGCCTGGAGGGATGGAAAACTAGCGAGGTTCCGAAGCATCTCCTGGACCATCTAGCTTCCAGGCCTGAGGAGTAGATGAAAGGATGTGCTTCTTTACCCTCCAAGTGACAAGAGGTTTGTGAATGTTGGATGAAGTGCATTGGGCCCACAGCGAGAGGCCCTGATAGGATGGGTTCTAGGTCTCTTCTCATAGCCCTTTTCCTGGCAGGACACCCAGATTCAGCTGGATGACTCAGTCCATGCCAACGATGACCTGAAGGAGAACATTGCCATCGTGGAACGGCGCAATACCCTGCTGCAGGCTGAGCTGGAGGAGCTGCGGGCCGTGGTGGAGCAGACGGAGCGGTCTCGGAAGCTGGCCGAGCAGGAGCTGATCGAGACCAGCGAGCGGGTGCAGTTGCTGCACTCTCAGGTAAGGAAGTCAGGGGATTCCTGTAGAAACCCACTGATGGTCAGATTCTAGGACAGTTATGGAAATTAGATGTTCTGAGTAAGCATAGTCAACCAGGATCACAAATTATATCATGTGGGGCCAATTCTTATCTGTCAGTATGTTTGCCAGAACCACTATCTTGTGAATGCGATCTGAATGGAAAGGTAAAGAGTGTCATGACTGATGATGCCTGTAAAAGCCACAAATCTGGACGAGAAATGCATGCTGATGTTTGACATCCTTACTCCAGAACACAAACCCAGCCTGTTCTGTAAGGATGGCAGTTTGGAATTTTAAAGAGCAACTACACATCCCAGTGAGACCCAAAATCTAAATAGAACACCATTTTTCTGTAATCTCATCTAAACTGACTTCAGTTATACTCCGCACAGAGGTTTTTGTTCTGCAATAGCAGTACACTGTGGGGCTTTGTTCTGTAATCTAGTATATGTGTGGGACTGATAAAATTCACTAGTCAGGTCCCATCTTTCTTTCTCTATAAACATTCTTTTTATATATATAACTATAATCATTGCTAGAATATTGGCCTAGTTTAAAAAACAGTTTTCATTTTCCTTGGAAAAGTGTCATGTTTCCCCTATAAATACGGTACCAAAGTGCTCGGCAACAACGATTTGCTATTTAAAGTCTTCTGGCCAAGTCCTTTTATATACACTATCTAGAAGAATTGATGCCTTTGAGCTCTGGTTCTGGAGAAGAGTCTTGACCATACTATGGACTTCCAAGAAAACAAATAGGTCTGTCCTGGAGAAAGCGAAAGCAAGTTTCTCCTAGGAGGCTAGGTTTTAAAGCTCCATCTTACATACTTTGGGCACAGGGCCAGGAAGGACTAGTTCTTGGAGAAGAACATCATGCTTGGAAGGGTGGAGGGACAGCACAGGAGAGGAAGACCCGGATGTGATTGATGCAGTAACTGGGGCAATGGGGGTAGGTGTGTCGAAGTCAGTTAGACTAACTCAGAATAGGGCAGGCTTCAGAGCTGTTGTACATATGGTTGCTATGAGTTGCAGGCGACTCGATGACACATAACAATATCTAGAACATATTCATTTTCATAGAAAAAATGAAAACAAACATAAGCCAAGGAATATCCTGAAAGCATAGCTTGTTGTTAATAGCAAAATTGCAAACCAGACCAGTTGCTGTTGTCAAATAGATTCTAACTCATAGTGACCCCATGTATGTCAGAGCACAATTGTACTTCACAGGGTTTTCAGTGGCTAATTTTCCAGAAGTAGATGACCGGTCTTTTGTCCAAGACACCTCTGAGTGGACTCGAACTGCCAACCTTGTAGTTAGCAGCCAACTGCTTAATCAATCACCACCCAGCAATGCCTAAGAAAAAATTAAAATAAATACCTTTTAGTGCTCTCTGGATGAAAGGTAACAAAGTACATTGCTAACAGTTCTCTCTACTCATATCTAGAACACCAGCCTCATCAACCAGAAGAAGAAGATGGAGTCTGATTTGAGCCAACTGCAGTCAGAAGTGGAGGAGGCAGTGCAGGAGTGCAGGAACGCTGAGGAGAAGGCCAAGAAGGCCATCACTGATGTGAGTCTGGTGGAGTAGCCTTCCCCTCTGCCCTCCCAGCATCTTCTGTCTTCTGGGCTAAGCAGTGAGTGTGTGAGAACTTAAACAGACCATGTGTGGTCCTATCTCCGGGCCTACAGGCTGCCATGATGGCAGAGGAGCTGAAGAAGGAGCAGGACACGAGTGCCCACCTGGAACGCATGAAGAAGAACATGGAGCAGACCATCAAGGACCTGCAGCACCGGCTGGATGAGGCAGAGCAGATTGCCCTCAAGGGTGGCAAGAAACAGCTGCAAAAACTGGAGGCCCGTGTGCGGGAGCTGGAGAACGAGCTGGAGGCCGAGCAGAAGCACAATGTTGAGTCGGTCAAGGGCATGAGGAAGAGTGAGCGCCGTATCAAGGAGCTCACCTACCAGGTATGGGCAGGGCAGGTGCACTGGATCACGGGTCCAAGCGGGAGTAGCTAGCAAACAGCACATATCGCACCACTCCTGCTCACACATAGAAACTCCAGCCTCCTTCTAGGAATGCCACCCAATCTTTCTGGCACTCGCTTTTTGTACATTGTCTTTAGATTAATTTTCCTCCACATTTTATGGAGTTAGTTTGGCTTAAATCCATGAATTTTCTAGCAAATGGGAAATCTACATCTACTTCCTGAAGATTCTTTTAAGTAACATTTCTTCTGTTTTCTGGTTGGCTTTTTGGTTTTGGTTTTTAATAACTTGAAGTGTTATCAGGAAGGCTTCAGAGCAATCCAAGGAGTTGTTCCACCTTCCACTTGCCTGAAAGGGAGAAGAGACAACATATGGAGCTTTAAAAATAAGAGTTGAGGATGGGGGAACCCCAAAACTATAGATTGTCCATGAAATTTTTTGAGGGTAAAATAGTAATTATAGATTTATTAGAAAGTTACACCTCCAAAGGGACAGATCTCCCTCCCTGAAAAGAGATTTAGAGAGAAGGCCATTCATGAAACTTTTATAACAATAAAAGTTTTAGAGAAAGATGCTCCAGCATTATTTTTAAGATCTCATTAGGAAGTGGCATTGCGAATCCAAAGACTGTACTTCTCTTGTGATCCAAATTCACCAGTGACTCCTAGGGAGAAAGACGGCTAATCTGTGCAATTTACAGCCTCAGAAGCTCAATGAAAGGTCAGCTGTGAATTGGTCCTGACTCAAGGTCAATAAGTTTGAGTTTTGGCTTTTTCCAACAATTCAAAGCTTTTGTCCTTACACTGTTCCCTTTTCACAGTGACAGAAAGATTTCACATTTGACAGGATATCAGAGGCACAGGAATGAGATGTTGATGAAGAATCATTGTTGTGTCATTGACAAAAGCAGGAATGGCATTCTAGTAGTGGAAAGAGAACAGAAAATGATACAGCGATAGAAACGATCAAGTGAGAGTAGAACCAGTGGCCCTGGTACCTGAATTCTGGTTCAGTGCATTTTTTATAGTAAGACTGTGGACTGTGATAGTACCTACTTCTTTCTACACTCTTCATTATTTCTTTTTGGCCAACCTAGAACCACTAGCCAAGAGAATGTATATTGCTACCTTCAAATCAGAACTGAAACAAACCTGATACTTCATATTATCCCATTTGAGACTTTTGTTTGCTTGTGAGCTTCACCAACCCTCTGCTCCTTCCAGATTTAGTGGAATAACTCTCATTACTTTTTTTTTGGGGGGGGAGGGGAGGGTTGTACCGTCAAATAGGATCCGACTGGCACAGGAGAAAGTTGCCCCTCCTCCAGTGGAGTATTTGGTGGATTCGAACCTTTGGGGTTTCATGCAGCGCTTTCATGACTTTTAGATCCCTAAAAACCTTACCTTGCTAACCTACACATGGAATCAGAGATGGAATCTTTTCCACTATTTCTTTGACGTAGGATAGTGGAAGGAGAGGCAGCTAGGGCACGGGGAAGAAGGGAATGTTAAAGGGAGGGAAGATGATTATATTTTCTCCTCCTTCACCATTGGCTTCTCATCTCCTTTTATGCCCCTTCTAGACAGAGGAGGACAAGAAGAACCTGCTTCGGCTGCAAGATCTGGTGGATAAGCTGCAACTAAAGGTCAAGGCCTACAAGCGCCAGGCTGAGGAGGCGGTGAGTTCACTATTGTCTCCGTTATTTCATTAACTACTCTGTTCAACAATTCAGTGAGTGTCCATCACAACATGGCTTGCCATTCTCTTAAGTCTCAAACATTTGATATCTATATCTCATGTCCATGGGATTTGGCCAGGTATTCTGGATTATCAAAATAATTGCTGTTTTTTAACCCAATCCTTGCCAACAAAGAGCCACTGACATTAATAATGGCAAGTTGGGAACCAATGAGGCTTCTTGGGAAGGTGGCTCTGGTCTGGGATTGGGCTTGCAAAGGGGGCCAAGGGAGAAGTGACGAGTCATTCTGGGTGACCAGAGTATGTAGCTGTGAGGTTTTAATGATCCTTAGTGCGGGTAACCTTGGTGTAGGGAAGCATCTCTCTGAGTTGTGGGTGAATAGGTGCAATGAAGCTGGATTCTGTGACAGGCGGGACTAGAAAGCATGTCACAAGGGGTCTGAGGAGGACCAACCCAGGCACACGCAATGGCTGCCACATGCAACCATTGCAAGAACAGAAGTGAGGGGACAGAGCATTGAACTCCTGGCTCAGCCAAGAGGGAGTCACACTAGGAAGCGGAGAATCCCACCATAGTCCCTCTCATTTCATCTGCATCCCCATCCCCACAGGAGGAGCAGGCCAACACCAACCTGTCCAAGTTCCGCAAGGTGCAGCATGAGCTGGACGAGGCGGAGGAGCGGGCGGACATCGCTGAATCCCAGGTCAACAAGCTTCGGGCCAAGAGCCGCGACATTGGTGCCAAGGTGGGTCCCTCCTCCAGGCTTCACTTCTTGCCTTCACACAAGCATGACCCCTGACACAAGTGTCCCTTAAAGTAGGCACCCTTCATCCTAAGTTTGGACACTCCTGATTCCACAGCATGCATAACCCAAGAATCCCTACAGACTAGAACCTCTGCAGACAATCCCAGCCTCAAGCCTCTAAAAGTCAAAGAGCTTTAAAATGTCACCTCAAGAATCCTCAGGCCCTCACTACTCCCTCTCAGGAGAATTCCCTTCAACCCTGGAAAGCTCTAGGGCTTCCTCCTCACATTCTCTTTCCTCCTGCCTCTTTCACACCTTTGATTTCTGTCTCAGCAGAAAATGCATGATGAGGAGTGAAGCTGCCTTGGGAACCTCACCCTTGCCAACCTTTAATAAACATGAATGTGAACTCTGCCTGAGCTCCTCTGTCCTTCCCGCCAACCTCCCATCCTGCAGCAGGGAGTTTTCAGAGCTACAGCAGCAAAGACATCCCTCATTTGAAAAAAAGGTTATGGAGGACCAGAGAAGGGAAGTGTCTACATGAGGCAGGATACCAATGAACCCCATTTCCAATCAGTCTGTCATATGGGGGGGAGGGAAGATAAATTTTAGATTTTTCTGTTGAGAAAGCAACTCTAGATGCTGAGACAGAATTTGGGTGCTATAGGTGAAGCTACTCTCCACCCACTATCCACACCCTGTTCCCTCAAAATGAATATCCCATTGATACCAGGAGAGACCCAAAGCTGGCTAGGCACAGAGATGTAGAGAAATGAGATGGAATAGGTCTCACTCTGGTCTGTTCTTTGGCCCAGGCTCTGTAGGTCAGAGTCCCCTTTGAGGGCACCCTAAAACTCTAGACCCTCTGATACTGAGCTAGAACCAATGGACAGTGTGGCCTGAGTCTAGGCCCAGTTTGTCTCACTCATTCACCAACAAGCAGAGGCTGTTTATGCGCCTACCCCAGCCCTGTGCTGCCACTCACTCTGAGGTCCTAACCCTAACTTTAACCAGAGTCTGGCCCAGGTCACAGACCTGCATAGTGAACAGGGCTAGTTCTGGCTCAGTCCTCATCCGTCAGCTAACCTTTGATACCAGGTTTCCCTGACCATCTTCGCATCTCTCACCCAATCACCCATCTCCACAATTAAGTCATTTCTATCCCGCTTCAGGCTGGGTCAATCAAAGAATCTTAAGAATAGACCATGAATGAACACCTGGGAATGGTGCACAGAAAGGAGAGGTACATGAGACCTGGTTGGTTCTAGTTCCAGGGAGGCTACCAGCCCTGATGAGGAGCCGTGACATAAGGAAAGGGGAGCAGGAACTGGGAAATGGAAAAGTCAGACCAAGAAGAGAGTAGAGAGTATCAAGCAGGGCTGGGATCTTGGGACCCTGCATTGAGAAGAAATATCAGGGGAAAAGCAAGGACATTTCAGCGCAAAACCAAGCAAATATCAGAAAGAGGACAGTATGTCAGCTTGGACAGAGCCACTGAGCTAGATGGGGCTGGGCTGCCTGGAGCTGGAGACGTGGCCTGCACTGGGCCACCACAGGAGAGCAGAGCGGACTGCTCACGCTGCTGGAGCTGCCTCCCCTGAGCTCCCTCTCAGTCGAGCTCTCCCACATCATTTCCGTGGTTGGCCATGATTGTCCTTTACACACCTGTCCTAACACACCAACATTGGCCTATCTCCTTCTCTGAGCTCTAGGACAGGTCTGCCGGTCACTTCAGAATCACTGTTGCCCAGAGCAGGGTTGACACACAGGAAATACTCAGAAAATTTTTGCTGAGAAGCTAGCAAGTTGGAAAGGTGGATCTGCTGGTGGAGGTATCAGGGATGACGCAGGACCATTTTTCTAAACTATAAAGAGGTTCAGTACAGAATCTAGAATAGAGAGATAAAGATAGAGCTAGAGCTAGAGCTAGAGATAGAGATAGAGATAGAGACAGATATTAGCAGAGCTGGGTTCTAGCTGTCGCTTTATTATAAATAAATAAGGTCATATATTCTAACTGGACCTTCATTTTCTTTTCTGTGAAATAAAGACATTTTATCAGTTAGATGTCTAAGGGCAATTCCAACACAAGCATTTTGGGGATCTCTGGCCTTCTCTGCATGGGGAGCTCTGGTGGCTTAGTGCTAAGAAGCTGCACTGCAATCCCAAAGACACATGGTTCAAATCCAGCAGCTGTTCTGCTAGAGAAGTATGGGAACTCTCCTCCTGTATGAGGTACTGCCCTTGAAAACTTGCTAGGGGGTCAGCAACGTGTTAATTCTGACTTGACAGACACAACAACTATCCTTGTCCGGTGCCATAGGCACACTTGTCACCTGTGGTTTGTGGGCCAAGTCCTCCCCACACCAGGAGGGGGAGCTCTACACACACCCCAAGGAAATACTTCACCTCAAGTTCACTAACAAACCAACAAGAATGAAGGCTTGTGCCTTCTCAGACACAGAACACCAGGTCCCCAGCCAGCAGCGTACCATAGGGTAAGCTAGCGAGATTTGGGCAAAAGACGTTTTGCACCGAAGGATGTCTTCATCACCTTTACAAGCCCCTTCATTACTCAGACCCAGTGTCGTAGACGCACAGCGACCTGTTCCAGGCAACATTTCCATAAACACAACTTGGAATTCCTCTTCTGTCTTATTTCTGGGGAAGAAAAAGACTCACCAGTAGAGTTTGAATTTTTTAATTTGGGAGTGACTCAGGGACCCACCTTCCCACTCACTCACTCCCTGACCACCTCTGTAACACCATTTCCCTGTCAAGAGTTTCAGAGTAGTCAGATCCCAAAGCACCAGCCTCTACTGACAAGTCCACAGTGATTTCTCAGGCCAGGCTCCATCTCTGCAGGCACAGGGTGGGCTGGTGGACAAGGAGCCTAATGAAACCAAAGGAGGCATGTCTGGGCTCTACTGTCACCTTCGGCTGGGCCTTGGCAGCTAGGTAGTCCCAGGGATCACTGCTGTTCCCCTGCGAAGATGGAGCCAGGCAGGAGAAGGTGTGTCAGGATGGAGGTAGCATGAGGAGGGCCATTTCCTCTCCCCAAAGCCCAAGCACTCACCCTGAGTGGCCCTGGGTGCCATCTCAGTCTGATAGATCTTGAAGGCATCATAGGCAAGGACTGAAACCAGGATGATGCCAAAAACCTGTGAGAGCAGGAGCAGAAACAACACAAAAAAGACCATGGAATTAGGGAAGAGGGATTGGGTGGTATGGAGTCAAGTGATAGCCAGAACCCTGGGTACAGGCTTTATCTTGAAGGAGGGAGGCACAGAAAGTGTGTGATCATATGCCCAAGGTCCTGGGGGACTGGACTCACAAAAGCAGCAATGGCAGCTCCATCTCGGGAGGTCACAGCAGCAAAGGAGACCACCAGGAAAATTATGATGGCGCTTATACAGCGGAGGAAGTCCTGTGGGAACCCAGGGTACAGGTCAAAAGGAGTTCAGAAGGCAGGAGATATGTCGGGGTGGGGGGCAGTTCCTAGGCTAGTGGGTGGTCTGTTTCTCAGTCACTCTTCACGCCACATGGGCATTCCCCAGACAATATAAAACAGCTTGAAAAGAGAGTTCATATTGCTATCCAAGGGGTGGATGAAAGTGAACCCTGGCCAGCCGAGCACCCGGCATAGAACTGGGATGCAGTGGGTACAGCTCACCAGTTAGACTATAGGGGTGATTAGGGCAGGGCAGAGCCAAGCTGGGGCTGGACTTTTGAAATAGGAGAGCGTGTCCAAGAAATGTGCCTCTTCCTGCTATCAGTGACCCTTGTAACTGTGGGTCAAGGAAGTCTTGAATGTAGGGAACAACATAGAGAAAATCACAGCTGGGAAAAGGAGGCTGGGCCTCACACTGCCTGGGTCCAGGATGACAATGGCAGCTGTGAAAGAAGGAGAAAGAAGGGACCAGAAAAGGAATGGGGAGGCAGGATTCCTTACCAGGCAGGGCCAGTTAAGCCGATCGAAGCGCTGGTAGTACTGGGTGGCATAGAGGAAGAGGAAGGTGAGTGTGATGAAGAACTCGAGCAGGGCCGCGGCCATGTAGGCAGAGATGGATGCAGTGAAGCAGATAAAAATGACGAAAGTCAGGGCCTGTGGGACCAAGAGTGTGGGGCTTACTAGGGAGGGACCCAGCCCACAGGCCGGGTCTTTGCTTTCTCCTCCTCAGGAGTTCCCTGGAGTTGGCACCTCCCACTCGTTCTTGAAGAGACGTAAGAGCTCTGGCAGGGCTCACCACTCCTGCTGGCAGGAGCCACTATTCCCATGTAGGGCAGTCTCCAACCTCCCACTTCTGCCAGCCTCAGGCTACCACTCGCTCAGAGATCTCAGCAGCCCCAACACAAACTGCACAACCACAGGGGTGTCATTTGCATGGGCTTCCAATGGTGGTGCACCCCAGAGGGCAGAATTCAATGTGCCTGATGCAGCCCTGGGCTGCAGACCACAGCCCCTTCTCCAAGGAGCCTTCCCTAGGCCCAGATCCTAAAACTCCTCTAACAAGGACCAGAGACCTTGACTCCACCCTGAAACAAGGCTTCAAAGGCCCGTTCTGGTAGCCCATCAGCTATCACAATGTAAGATGTCATATATGCAGAGGACGCAGATTCCCACAAGGCCTCGCTCAGTGGCCAGAGGAAGATCCTTTACTGAGAATAGTGTTTATGGGGAGCAGATAAAAGTGAGGCTACAGGAAGTCTGTCCCTTTAGATAGCCGAATTTCATGATCATGCCAAGAAGTTGCTTGAGTGTGCCAAGCAGTTGCCCTCGTAGAACCTGAGAAAGGCAGGTCAGCATTGCCCCTCCTGATCCTTTGTCTCACTCTCCCTAGAAGTCCCTGAGAGTAGCCTTTCTGTGTAACTTCAGTCCTTCCTGTTGCAGTTACCTCCAGCTGCAGAAGCAACAAAAAGACAGAATAGGAGGTGAGAGAGGGGCAGCTGTGGGTAGGAGGTGATCCAGAAAGCCTGGGACAGGGAGCTGTGAGGGGTGAGCCTGAGGGAGATCCAGAGCAGGGCAGAGCTGGGGAGTAGGAAGGGGAGAGATGAGGTGCCAGGTTGGGAGGTGGCTGTTACCAGCTCGGTTTCCAGTAGGATGCCTCTGAGAGAGGAGAGGAAGGTCTTGTCCACAGCGAAGCCCTGGAGCCCTGAGGCTGCCCCCTCCTCGGGGGGCCGGTCCCGATGGTCTCTAGCACCAAACATCTCCGTGGGGCCCACCAGGCACAGTCCCTAACACCACCACCAGCAGGCTGGGAAGGAAAACAGAAACCTGGCAGAATAGGGAAGCAGACAGAAGCAGGAAGGTACTTGAAGAAGTACTTGAAGCAGGAAGAAACTTGAAAGTGGTCAAGGAGGTCTGCCCAGATCCCCAGGGGAGGCTGCCGGGATGAGCCCTCACCCAGCTGCTGCCCAAAGCTCCCCTGCAGGTGTCTGTGCCAGCCCCTATGAGACACACGGGGCACTTGGGGGAGTGGTTAGCCACACCCCTTAGTAGAGCCAGCCTCAAGAAGAGGGAGAGTAGGAGGTCCACAGGGGAACTGGGAGGAGCTGGGAGATGAACTGAGAAACCAAGGCAGAAATGGGTGCTCCTCAGGGACTTAAAACCGAAGAAGTTGCATCCCCCTTCCTAAACCTTAACCCTCTTCTTCAGCTCCTCCTTTTTCTCTTTTCCTTTTAGGGAAGATGGGAGCTGGAATCTGGCCCAGGCAGCATCCCGTTGCCCGCCCTCACCCCTCCAGAACGGAGCAGTAGCAGCCAGGGCCAGAGGACAAAGGCGGATTGTTGGGGACAAGGGGGCGCTGTGTGCCTGCTGTGGTGCCTCAATGGGCCTCTGTCTATCCAGTATGCCAGGAGGGCAGCCTGACCCCCCACCCTGGTGCTCTGGGTGAACCAGAGAGCCAGAGAGGGGAAGGCAGAGGAGGGTTCAGTGGGAACACCGAAGGCAGAGGGATTTGGAGGAGTAGACAGTAGGAAAGGCTGAGCAGAAGGACCAGGTTGGGGACCTGACCACAAGGTATTCAGGGACCAGGAATGCCAAAGACAAATTGTGCCATTTTAAAATATAGATCATTTATTTAACTAAGTCTCTCTGTGCTCCATTGCAACATCCTCAGAACCATGTCTAAAGACCAGTAGCACATTGATGTGCACAAAGTAGACGCCCACTGAGTGTTTGATAAATGAATGATTGAACAAACAAGTAAAACAAAAGATTCTCTATTGGCAAAGGGGAAAATAGCAAGAAAGTGCCTGTGCTGTACCAGGGCAGCTGCAGATGGGAGGACAGGAATGGTGGACTCAAGAAATGGCAGAACTTTGAAGATCTTTCCCAAGAAGGCAGTCTCAGGACACCAACTTCCAGTAGTCTTAACAACTGTCTCTTTCACTTCATTCTGCAATTTCTGTCCTCTCCAAAAAGTGCAAAAGTGCAAGTTCTCTCAAAAGTCCCCCATCCTTTCCAGGATTCTCCTACTCCGTGAAGGTGGTGCTTTAACGGAGCTAAGCATTTCTGTGTCCAGGGCTCCAGCATGGGTAGTGGGCTGTGCGGCTCACAGCTGGCTGGGTACCAGCTTTCTCAGTGAGGGATTCATCTCAAGGGAGCATGGCTAGGCCATCACGCGGGGCCTCACACACACACAGGCCAAGGACACAGGGTAGAGCTTGCGCTCCAGACAGTAGCCATCATGGGCACCTTGCTGGTTCTGGCACCGCCGCCGATAGAAGACTGTCTGGTTGTGGTAGAGCAGCTCTGAGTTGCCCCGGGGGTCCATGTGGGAGCCGGTCTGTAGGCTGACACAGTGTGGGCACAGGCAGCGGGCGTGGTACAGGTCCTGGGGGAGCCGGTTCTCATCTCTGTCCAACCTGTGGAGGCAGCACAATGGCGTCACTAGGGTGGTGGTGCAGATTGTACCAGGTGACACCATTGTGGAGGTGACACCAAAATTATATATGCAATTTTTGAACAGTGTTTTGGTAGAAATTTAATATTGTTTATAAGAATATCCCTGTAGTTAGTTATAGCAACAAAATTTTTTTGGAAGCCCAGCTTACATTATCAATACACCTGTAAGGGTAAAACTGCATGTTAATTTGCTTCTGGAACCTTCCAGTGCACTCTGGCAGGTCAGAGATGTCTTTATTACTGAATTACAATAATGAGTCTGAGCACATGGTTTTGTCTGCATTCACTATACACATGTTGCTTATGTTTTTATAACTGCTAATTACATCACATTTTCTGGTGTTTTAGCTACAATATGGTGGTGGTTAGTAGTTATGAAACTATATCAATAACTTTTTTGAGAGTGATATAGTAATTCAAGGAAGAGGAGAACAATTTTATGGGAACTTCCTCTAACAATGAAATTTAATGCAAAATGATTTTACAAAACAAGTATTTGTTAATCTTCCTATCATCTAAAAAATATTACATTTAGACAATTTATAACTATACTAACCACATATTACTCTATGACTTAAATTAGTAACATACCATATTTTTTATATTTATATAAATAAATTGATAATAAACCAGATCCTATATATGGGTAATAAGCTAGGGATTCTATGTGGTCTGGTACGGAAGGAGGTCCATGAGGGTCTGCACTGGATGGCACTCAATCTAGTGACCCCTCTAAGATGGCATTCATCATGCACTGAAGGGAGGTGGGAAGGACAGAGGAAAGAAACAGTGAGGTGCTAGTACCATTTCTGGCATCAGCTTGCCTGACTTGAACAAACTGGCCCCCTCCTGAAACTTCCCTAACTGCACCCAAGGGTAGGGCACTAAAGAGTGGATTCCAGTACTCGAGAGACTCAGGAAAGATGAGCAGGCAAGAGCTTGAGCCTTCAGCAGACCAGCTCTGCCTCTGTCAGATAGATATACACACTGGGTTTTGGAATGAAGCCTCTTTATGTAATTGCTGAGTTTTTTTAGGTTTTTCCTTTCTTTTCCTTTTTTCATCTAAGCACACAGAGTATGAAGTGGAGACTAACAGTCCTTCTCCCCCCCGGTTCCATTCCCTAGGGGGAGCCACCGCCAGCAGTTTCCTGAGGATCCTTTCAGACACTGTCAATGCCTATATTAAAAGCACGTGGGAAAGTGTGTGGCAAGACTTACTTTAAAAGGATTTTATGGCCAACAGAAGATTTGAAAACCATGAATAAGTAGATATCCCAAAGGTCAGGCAGTATCCTAGCAGGACACAACCACTGGACCGAAGGACCACTCCCCAAATAGCCAGGTTAAAGCAAACCCTAGCACAATTCCCCATGTGGTGTCCTTAATATCAGTACCTTTTAGAAAAGGCTTTTGTGGCCAAATGAGTTTAGGAAACACTGAGTTTAATAGTTTCTTTTCTGTAGACTTCTTACAATCTTCAGTGTGCTGAGATTATTATGAAACTCTAGAGGTAGAATTCTTTCCCAAATGTACTTTTTCAAGAGTGGTAGTTTGTGGAACTAGTGTCGGACATGACACACTCTGGGAACAGCTGGTCAACTGGCTATCAGAGGTTCACAACCTTCTAAAGAGGAGTCTGGAGCCCAGCTGAATCAGCCATTCCCTAAAGAACTCCCATACCACTAAATTTGGTTCAGGACCTAGTATAGTCTCCACCCTGGACCCAGACTCAGTTAAAGCTAAGTCACTGTCTACTGCACAGAACTCCATCCAGTGCCCGAAGCAAGGCTAAGCTAGAGCTGGATTTACAGGGAATGCATGCACAGACACCAAGTGAGGACACAAGGCAGAAGGGAAAATATGTTTTGGATCCCTAAAGCCCTAATTTCTAACATTTCACTTCTCTCTACCTATTTTGGAACTTTCTCAATATTTTTCACATTGTGGCAGAAGTATGCAATTACAATATTTACGTAGCATACAGAGGTGGAGAATAAGATGACTCATGATCAAAGATGATCAGCCATCCAGCTCCCCACAAAGGCCCAGCGTTTTAATACCTTAGAGTATGTGTAACTCATTCATAACCTAGGACAGTAGCGTTATCATGATTCCCTGATGTTTTAGTTAGAAAAACATGATCATTGCTATGGCTAGAAAAAAGAAAATGCAAAGATGACAGTCAGCATTTCCCATACTAAGTACAAACTCTTACACACATTAATGCACTTGAGATGCACATTAGAGTATTATTTCAATTTTACAGATGGAAAAACTTGAACTTGGGAACCCTGAGTAATTGGCCCATAGTCAACCAGTAAGAGTGAGAGCTAGGAGTCAAAGCCCCAAAAGTCTTCTAACTCCTAAGCTTCTATGGATGCTCAGAGCTAAAAACGGGAAGATAGGCTAGACCAGAGGAGCTCTGGTGGGACAGGATACCTGGCTATTAACCCACCCGCCAGCCTCTTCAGAAGAGAAGACGTGGTGATTTGCTCCCATAAAGATCACAGCCTAGGAAACCTCATGTGGCAGTTCTACTCTGTCACACTGTGTCACTATGAGTCAGAATCAGCTCACTGGTACCCAACAAGGCTGGAGCAGGATGCTTCTTGGCACTCTCACATGCATCCTTACCCGCACACAGAGGAGAACAAGACATGCAAGCAACTGGGAAGAGAGACCACAGACTCACTCATATCTCCAGGGGGCAATGGCCCTGCTGTTCAGGGGGCCTTCCTCACTGGACTGGCAGGACTCTGCATGATGTGAGATGCTAGTAGTCTCTGGAGGGATTGCCACCACAGGGTTCCACTTCAGCCACTCCTCCAAGAATTCCTGTCCTTTGTTGGAGCAGCATCTGGGACGGGAGCTGTCCCTTTGGAGTCGTAAATGGAAGGTATGGCTTCCCATGACCACTGCCAGGACTACAGCCACCTGTAGGTAAAGGCCAGTTAGAGAACTGCTCACACATGTTCTGGGCCCTTCCTCCCCATCAACCACTCCCCTAGCTGCTCCCTGAGATCCTGGTTTCTAGCTCCACCCAGCTAGCCCAGGAGCCTGGCCTGCCTTCACCCTCAGCAGCACCTCTGCTTCTTTCCGGTTCTGCACCATCCTCTGCAAGCCTTCCATCCACTCACCTTGTACATGCCGGTTGCTTCTCACTCAGCCACTAGCTCACTGGCTGGCAGGTTGGGCCTTGTGCAGGCTGAGTGGAGCAGTTTAGGCGTCCTGGTTTTATTTTGAGCAAACCTGTTTTGGTTATTCAAATTTATTTCCACTACCTTTTGAAGGGAGTGCCCTAAGATTAAAACAAAACAAAAAGCTAAAAGTTGTGCCAAAAGCTGCTTAAAATACTCTACTCATGGAAGTTGTGATGAACTTTATAACAAGCCTGGTAACCTATTGAGTAAACTTTGCTCTTTACACTTTTCCAGGCGTGGGGTTAAAGCAATAGTGTCTTGCTAGACGGCATCTTTGTGAACTGGCATTATGAGAATTTCCATGATTGGCTTGGTACCCAAGATTAGAGACTGACATCCTTTCTCTTTTCAACAGGTCTCACTTCCATGGTCTTTGCTGTTTCCACCCATGGTCTTATTTTCTATCATCTCCCCTTGGACTGTCTCCTGATCACCCAGCTTTGTGAACCCTTCCTTTCCCCTCCATCTCCTTTGGCCTTTATCCTTTTTGTTCTCTTGTCTCTTCCCCATATATGATGGACCCAAGTTCTGTGGCCCCCACCTCCTGTGACGTCTTCCCCATTGTCCATTCCTGCTTTGTAATGTCCCTTTGCCTTCTGCAGTGATTATCTTTACCCCCACACTTTTGCTGACCCTTCTGCCTAGAACATAGATACAGACCTGGCCCCACAAGATTGCCAGGAAGTTCTGACCTCATTATTTGTTGGCTAGATGCACACGGTATGATGGAAAAAGCTATGGATGATTGCTCCCATTATACAAACAAGAAAGTGGTGCAAGGAAGAGGAGGGGCATGGGAGCCACTCAGTAAGACATTCCAACTCCAGAGAATAGCCTGCCCCCACCCTACTAGGGTGTTGGGGACAAGAGCCCTTAGGGGTAACAGCTGCTCTCAGACCACGAGGTGAGTTGAACCCTTTTAGCCTCATTCCTTCCCAATCCATGAGGCACTGTTGGTCAAGACCCCACAGAAACAGGTCTGCTAGGGTCCACCCAGCTTGGGAGACATTGTGCTGAGCAAGGCCAAGCTGAGATCAGGTCTATTCACTTCATTCTTGAAATCAGCTCCCCTCATCCCTCCATACCCATGACCCCCCTAAACCAACATACTCATACACAGGCAGGGTATCTAGAATGAGGCATTGTATCTAGAATGATGTTTCCTGATTTGCATGTGCTTTCCCTTAGAAAATACTCCTTTGGTAACTAAGGACTCAGAAAATAAACAGAGAGCCAGGAATGACTTAAATTGCAATGAGAGGGAATCCTTTCAAATGCTTTATGGCAAAACAGCACCAAGCAGAGAGGTAATGAGGTCAAGAAACACTAGAAGACTAGAGGGAACAGCACATCTTGGGTGCCCGAGAGGGAACCTTAGAGGGGCTAGGAGGTTAGCAGGGAGAGCATAAATATTTAGGAAGAACAATAACGCTAGAAAGACCATCATCCCATCCTCCTGCCCACCCTCTGGTCCCTTTCCATACAGGATGCCATACAGTTCTCAGCTGCTGTGCCTCTGTGTGGACCAGGTGCTAAGCACTGCACAGGCATTATCTCATTTAATCCTTATAATAAAATGATGAGATTAGAATTATTAACTTCACGTAACAAGTAAGGACACTCAAAGAAATTTAGTAACTTGTACAAGATTGTACAGTTAGGAGGAGCAGAGTGAGCTTTCACTTCCGGCTTTAACCAACACCTAACCCTACAGATGACTGCAAATAAAAGGCAAGACTCCCAGCAAATGCTTTGCTACTCAAATGGGACTGAGCTGGGACAGACAGGTCTCACTCGCACATGCTCAAGGCTGTGGCTTTCTTGCCCACTTGGGCTTTCAGCCCTGGTGTCTGGGATCCACTACTCCAGCTTTCTGTTCCCCAGTGTCTGGCGCAGGGTCCCAGGGTGACTTCTGGTGGTCTTTAGCAACTCCCAAACCCAGAATAAGTTCTTAAGGAAAGTCCTATTTCAGAAGAACTGAAATGTTGCAGATCTCCCAAAACCAATCAGAAATTCAGGGCCAAGGGACCAGACCGGAAGCTTAGCCTTGGCCCAAATCTATTGATCTTGGTCCCTGTCCAGGAGAGGGATGCAAAGGAGCTGAAAGTTATCTCAGCTACTTGTTTTACTTGCACTGTTTTACACTACAGAAAGGATCCAGACGGGGTTGCTGGGAACAATGTGTCACAGGTTAGACTTTTGACGTGCCCACTTGCCTCTGTAACAAGCCCTCTTCTAAGTAAACCCTAAAAGGCAGAGAGGAGTCCTCTGTGTACACAATCTCCCAGGGTTGGCATTTTCCACCGTATGATGACCAAGCCTGATCTGAGAACCTGTGCTCTGAGCCACACACCCCCACCCCACCCATTTGGTCAGTCTCTGCCCTTATCTCAGTAACAGCTTTGTGGGATCCCTAGGGTGACTCCCTGTCATGAGAAACATTTTCCAGAGGGCTTTCCCCTTGGAATGGCTAGTTTTGGAATTCCTGAGTCACCTCAGCTTCCAGAGAATCCTTGGGGGTGTGAGGAGATGAGGGTGGCAATGGGGAGAATGCTAGAGGTGGTGTAAAGGAAAGTTTACCTGGCACCTGACATCAAGGGTACCCTCGTGATATGTTCTCACCTGCCCAGGCCTGACCTGGCAGCCAGAGAACTTTTGTTAGGATTCTCACCGTCATCCCTCTGGGAAAGGAGATCAGCCACTAGCAGAAAAGGGGAGGAAAGCTGTGATGGCCTATGAGAGGCTTCTGGGACTACAAGTAAGCTGCAATGTCCTGTCTCTTCTCAGAAAGACATCCAAGTTCTCACCTGCTGCCTTGAATTCTTAACCCTGCATCTGATCAGCTGTAAGCCTCCTTTCTCATCTGTAGAGAAAGAGAGGGGAGAAGGTGATATGTCTGATCACCAAGGTGCCAATGAATTTAGCTGCTCTGGACTTCATTTTATGATATAATGCTGAATGTCACAAGACTGAACAGGATTTGCTGAGGCTTGATATGTGAAGCTGGAGCACAGGTTGTTAAAATTCTTGAGTATCTGCTGATCAAAGGATATTGCCCCCAGCTGCCGGGATCCCTCCCTACCATATGCCTGGCATAATTTCCCTCTAGAATCTGGCTTAAACCTCTTTTCTTTGGTTGGTAAATGGCCATAGCACTTGTTACTACATACCTCCTCCCTTTCTTCCTCTATCTTTAACCGGATAAACAGATGTTTATTGCCCTTTATAAACTTCTTTTAGGAATGTATACAACTTCACTTATATATGTTTTAGTATAAATAATATGAGATCTTATAAACTCAGAATTATAAAAACTTTATAGTGAATTGAATAAAAATAAGTCTATCTAGAATATCCTAAAAAATAAATCTATCTAGAATTTGTAAATGTGATCTTGTTTGGGAAAAATTGTCTTTGCTAATGTAATAAAGTTAAGGATCTTGAGACAAGATCTTCCTAACTTATCTGCTGTTGTTATTATGTGTCATTGAGTCAACTATGACTCATAGAGACCCTATGCTGGTGGCTTAGTGGTAAAGAATTGCACAGCCAAAGCAAAAGTACGCAGTTTGACTCCACTAGCTACTCTGCAGGAGAAAGATGGGCAACTAACTTGTGCAACTTACTGCCTCTGAAAACCTGCCAGAGGATCAGCTATGGGTTCTTCCCATGCTATGGTACTATGGACTTGTCTGTTGTTCTGTGCAATCAAGTCTCTTGAAATTCTTAGCAATTCTATGCACCATAACTCTGAACTCAACCCTATCTTGAGCCAATCTCACCATCACTGACACATCTGTTCCCATAACCCCAGTTACTGTGTCAATTCAGCTCATTCAGGGTCTTCCTCTCCTCCATTGTCCCTTCTCCAAGGACTCATCCCTCCTGGCCATGTGCCAAAAGTATGTCAGAGCTTCAAAGTCCTTGCCTCCAATGAGCAAGTTAGTTTCATCTTCTCCAAGACAGACTTGTTTGTTCTCTTGGAGGTTCATGGTATGTTCAATACTCTGCTCCAGCACCACAGTTCAAAGGCATTGTTTCTTCTGTCATCTTCAGTCATTGTCCAGATCTCTGATGCATAGCAAGTCATTGTAAAAACCATGGCCTGGATTAGACACATCCTAGTCTCTGCCCTGACATCCTTGCTCTTTAGTGCTCTGAAGAGGTCCCAATAGCAGATGTATCTGAGTGGGCCCTAAATTCAATGATAAAGGTCTTATAAGAAAAGAGAAGACACAAATATTGAGATGAAGAAACCCATGTGAAGATGGAGGCAGAGATTGCATGATACAGTTGGAAGGAAGTCAAGAGACACCAAGGATCGCCAGCAACTATTAAAAGCTGGAAAGGAGGCATGGAACAAATTCTCCCTCAACCTCCAGAGGGAATCAACTTCCTAACACGTTGATTTCAGAAGTTTTGCCTCCCTAACAAGTATGCAGATGACACAACCCTGCTTGCTGAAACTAAGGAGGACCTGGTCAAGGACTTCAACCTCCAATATGGACTGAAGCTCAACATCAAGAAAACAAAGATTCTCACCACTGGGCCAATTGGCAGCATCAGTATGGATGGTGAAGAGATTGAGATAGTTAACAGTTTTAGTTTGCTTGGCTCCATAGTCAACACTCTTGTTAACAGCAGCCAGGAAATCAAGAGATGAATTGCATTGGGAAAGTCGGCTGTGAGGGACCTCTCAAGAGTACTGAAGAGCAATGATGTCAGACTGGAGACTAAGGTGCACCTGATCCGGGCTATTGTCTTCACAATTACGTGCTATGCGTCAGAGAGTTGGACAGTGAATAGGGTTGATAGAAAGAATTGATGCCTTTGAGGTGTGGTGCTGGAGAAGAGTGCTGAATATACCATGGACTGCTAGGAGAACAAACAGGTTTGTCCTGGAGAAGGTGAAGCCAGAATGCTCCTTGGAGTCAAGGATTCTGAAG